GGAGACACAGACTGAAGCGTCCCCTCCTCCCCCGTCCTCCTCCTCCCCCCCTCGAGAGCTGCTGTCATGCTAACTACAACTCACACAGTACCTCAAACATCAGGCCCAGGAGGATAATCATGGCCAAACATGACACCATGTCGGCGTGATTCTGGATCACAAACTCGTGGCTCAGCACCGGCGGACTCTTGTTCTTCTTGCGGAAACCCATGGCTCTCGAGACGCGCGGCTCTCTCACTACTCCCCTTATCTGGATCCTAGGGCTGCTTGAAGCCTAGCTTCCCCAGCGCGACACAGCTTGGCTGACGGGGGATGCTGGCCCCCGGTTCTGGTCCTGGTTCTGGTTTGGTGACGTTCGGAGCGGAGTCCTCGGATTCAGTGAACCGCTGCTCGTTGGCGTAAAATAAGTCATGAAAACATAGATCGCGGACAACAACCGCTGCACTACACCCACTTTTTTTCTTTTTTGCCCCAGCCTGGTGAAGTCAGATGACAGGCCCTCCCACTTCGAGCCCCCATTCATGAACCACCCAGCGCTGGTGACGTAGAAGGAGAACCCGGGGCGGTGGTGCATTCACGTCCTCCACGTAAAGAACCTTACGTTCGCGCAACGGAGTCACAACCGCGTGAAGTGGACTTGTCACAAACTAGGTAACAAACCTGTGAGTAATTTAAAAAAACTGTTAAATATTCGTTAAACACGGTTTTGTTAATTTTAAATCTTTTAAAATTAGGGCCTAAATTAAAAAAAAACGTTTTTTTGCTGCCACTTAATACTATTGTTGTAAATATCGTTCATTAATCTGTATTTATTTCCTATTTTGTTCCTGAAATGAATAGGATGGCCTCTGGATAAAAAGTACTCACCGGTGGAAAAGATATCCAGCAGGTGGCAGCAAAGCAGCGCACAGGAACCTTCCATAAATAAACAAAAAATTAAAAAAAATTAAAAAAAAATGATGGGAAAGATACTAGTAGCTATAGCTCAACCACGGAGTTATTCAAGCAATAAATCAACACATTCAAGTGGGGGAAGACAAGATGGAGGGGGGGGTCACTAGTCTGTAACAGTGTGTAATTCTTATATTTAATGGAAAATCAGTGCGTACTGTGATCCGAGCTGAAGGCACGACAAAAAAAACGACGTCTTCAAAAAGTTAAAACAAGTTCTGAATTGTTTTTTTCAGTAAATGTAAAAGTAGGTGTAACAAGTGATGTATATAATAATCTATTTCCCGATGGATTCTCAGCCCGGCTAGCTCAGTCGGTAGAGCATGAGACTCTTAATCTCAGGGTCGTGGGTTCGAGCCCCACGTTGGGCGTTCACATTTTCTCTTTTTTTTTTCCTATGTGACGATTTGACTTTTACTATACATTTTTCATTTATGTATTTAGTCCTCATTTGGCGTTTCGCGTTTAAGCATTAAAAAAAACATAAAAAACAAACTGAATTTAAACCTGGTGGCTGTTTCCTGCATCACGTGTGGATAATCATGTTAGTTATACTGTATATTTGAAGCCTTGTGTAATAAATGTGACATGTGGAGCACAGATACAGACACAGAGGAGTGTTAATAAAAGTACATTTCTTTATCACACATGTATTCAAAGACCTGTACGTACTGTGTAGTAACCAGATCCAGATTAACAAGGGTTGTTACATAAAAACTATTATTTTACTAACTATCATAGTCAAATAACCATTTTACAATATATTCTAATTTGTATAGTAATAATCAGGATCTGCCCAGGAGTCTGATTGTATTTTAGGAACATTATACACAGCATTTATTATTATTATTATTATCTTTAAATGTCTTTTTTTTCCCAGCTCACAAACAAAGGGTCAGATAACGGTGGTCTAAATCCAATCAATCTGATCAATCCAAAGTCCACTGGTGTTGGTAAGACAGTAAAGGGGTCGCTTGAAAAATACTTCTTCTTTTTTTTCCCGCCTGATCTTTTTCCTTATACAGTAACACGCAGATTCCATTCATTTGTTTAACTGTTATTGTTGATGTATACGCTAAAATACTTTAACATATAAACATTTTTTTTCCTCTGTAAAAATGTGAGAGGGAGGGGTTTAAACAAAGGCCCATTCCAATTTTTTTTAAAAAGGGAGGCTTGAGCAGAGCGAACCGTGTCCTGGTCCTTGGGCTGTTTTGCTGTCACTCCTCCAACGTTCGTTCGCCGTCAAACCTCGCCACAGCGGCTACACTCCCGAACCGCAGGCGTCAGAATAATATCGTCTCGGGGGAGGGAGAAGGGAAAAGGGAGAAGGGAGGGGGTCTTATGTGTCAAATACATTCGTGTTAATGCCGTTATTTTTTCGTAGCTTTCGTTACGTTACACGAAGCCCCTTTCTCCTTTCTCCTGTCTCTACCACTCTACAGAGCTGCCCCTGCCTGCACCGAACAAAGATAATTACTCAGGAAACATTTCGGCCAATCAGACGCCGCCTCTCATCCGACCTGTGCGCGGAGCAGCCAATCGGGACCTCGCTACCAGAGCCGGGCCTGATCGCCTTGCCTGAAGAGCGGAGCCTTCCCCGGCTGAAGGCTGAGAGTGTCCTCCATGTTTTATATGTGTTGACATAACAGTGTGTCAGGCAGCCATGCATCCACAGAGGTAAGCTCTGTCTTTTCTTCTACCATCTCAGCTCTGTGATAACAACATGGCTTCCTTCTTGTCGTTGTAGTGACTGTTTCTCATGATAAAAATGTTCAAGCCTTGAAATCAGTTTAGTGTACTACAGCAGCAGCAGCAGCAGCAGCAGGAGGAGGAGGAGGAGCTGGGGTTGGACTGGAGGCCTTAACCAGGCCTCTGTGCTCCACAGAGCTAGAGAGGAGGGTGGGGGGTTGGGTAACGACTCTAACCCTTGCTCTCTCCTCTGTGTCTTGGGGTCACATGGGTGCCCTGGACAACTACGGTGCCATACAGGAACCAGAGTGGACCATGGCAAATCCTTTTCCTTTTTCTTTCCTGTAATGAAAAGGAAGAGCTAGATTTAAAAAAAAAAAGGCAGCCATTTATTTCTGTTTTTTTTACCCAGTGTAAAGGCCTTGGATAGAGAGAATGGGGTGGGGTGGAAGAGGGGCAGAATGGGGTTGTGGGTAGGAGGGTGGTGTGACCCTGCTTGTAAATACATTGGCTCTGTGCAGGTTTTTCTTTTTTTCCTGCGTGTCCTGTCAGGCCAGTGAACGTGTGCCTGGAGAAACAGAAATACTGCTGTTGTCACACACACACACACAAGGTAAACACCAAAAAACATAGCTGTAAAAAAATGTCTGCTGTGTTTTCACCACAGTCTAGTCAGAGGAGATCAACTCTAATCTAACCTTGTGTTGTTAGGACGGGCCTCTAAAAATTTTTAAAAGTAGTTTAGTGAGATTGGGACACTGCCTGTGGTTGTGCTCACGTGGCCCCTGGGTTTACAGCCTGAGCTCTGTGGCTCCACGGCACTGTTGTGAAACTGCTTCTTCCTCCACTCTGTGATCCTCAGACAGTGGCCATTTTGTGTTGAAGAGAGGCCGTCCTGGGAGGAAAAAAAAAATCAGGCTCCAGCGCCTGATCCGACGGCAGGAAGCAGAAGCCGAGTGTCTGCGTGCGACACACGTACAGTACAGACACTGAGCTGCTTCTATATTTGTCCCGCCATGATTTTTCTATGACACAACACGAAGACAAGAGTGTGTCTTTATTTCCCACGGACGCAGTACAGACAGTACTGCAGCAGGAAATGCACATGTGGAAGGTTAGCTTTGGAAAACTCTGTGAAGGAGTGTGGACTAGAGAGGAGCAGGGAGTCGACGTCTGAGCTTTTTAGTCTTCAGTTCTTCTAATGTTTCCTCCCTTTTCAACACACAGGACACACACGTTCTTTTATTACACATGAGGCTCAAATACACACGGCTGGTTTGTGACTTTTAAAACCCACACATCCTGCAGACAAAGTATCTTAATTTGTACCAAACAAAATGTTCAGAAGCCTTGAAACGGCGCCTGAGATTGTTACATTAATCTGGTGGTATGCAGGGGAAAAAAACCCAAAAAAAACCCAGCATCACAGCAGGATTGTGAAACCGCTTCCTCCTCCCTCTGATCTTCACACAGGGCCAGTCTGTGTGGACCAGAGGCCATGTTGGGATTCAGATTCAGAAAACTAGTCGTTCCTGTGGGGCAGTTTATAGAGGAGGGAGAAACTCAGACGTCGTTTGCTGCTCAGAGTAGGACGGAAACAAAAACCACGTACCTGAGGTACACGTGTGGTGTATTCTAGTATATGTCTTACTTTCGTTTTAGAGGGTTTGACAGGGTTTGACTTTCCAGGGGTGCACGATAGGTCACGGCCAACCATACCATATATTGCGATACTATGGACACTACGATAATTTGAGTGTAGCTGTAGTCCCAGTGTAATCCTGGTCTGAGACTCTGTTCCATCTGAACATCAGTTCCTAACTCTGGAACAGAGGGATCTACATTTGGAATCACTAGAGAAGAAAGAAAAGAACAAGAACATGAACCAACACCAGGAATATTGGACTGGGAATTGGTGAGAAAAAAATCAATAACTGATCAATAGATACGGGAGGAGGAGATTGATACGAGATCAGGAAATGGAAATATCGTGATATTTAAGCAGTATAGATATTTTCTTACAGCCTTATTACTTAATTACTTATTACTAAAAACATTTCAAATGGTTCTACATGAGAGAGGAACACATTTACAAATACTGACTGTAGAATTAATCTCTCAACAGTTAAAAAAAAAAATTGTAATTTTTTTCTGAATGACACTTCATACAAAACTGGAACATTCTCTAATAAAAAAAAATTGCATTTTTTTTCTGAATGACATTTCATACAAAACTGGAACATTCTCTAATCTGATTTTAATTTACTATTAAACATTTAGAACAACAGAGTTGATACAACAACACAATTCATAGAGAAATATTTTTAAAAAATATATAAAACTAAAATTTATATTTTGAAGTGCAACCATTTATACCATATTAAAAACAGTAGCAACTTTATTTTTATTTAAAAGAGATTTAAATATATGGAACAACAATCATATCTACATATAATACAGCCATCCATTCTCTCTTAAAAAAACAAAAACAACACAATTTAAAGTGTCTGGATGTCACTGAAATGACCTTGACATCAAGGTTTCAAATTCAGGTTAGTGCAGTGTGTCGTGGTGGTGCTAGAAACAAACGTCTGACTCTCCGTCGGTGCAGTAAACAGGAAGGCAGAGCCGGAGCCGCGCAGCCACTCGACCGTACATCACAGCCACAAACACATGACCACAGTCAACGCCGTTTCTCTCCTTCTGTTCAGTTTGTACTTTAACCATCAAACAGGTCTCTCCAAAAAAAAAAAAAAACAACCAAAAAAACTAAATCTCTCGGAGCTTTTCTCTCTGTGAAATGTCTGCATTGCAGCAAAAATTAATTTTAAAAGGACGAGGGGAGCCTGCACAGTGATCAGTGTGGCAGAGCGCAGCCAACCAATGACGTTCCACCCTGTTGGCCCTCCAGCCAATTGCAGCTGCAGTTGAGGTTAAAGATTGACAATCGCAGGGAGAGCAGCAGCAGGGATAGCATGGGCCTTCTGGAAAATTCCACAGCCATCTTTGATTCCCCCCTGCACTGGCTCAGATAAAACCCAGGTGACATGCATCTTTTATACACACCTTTTTTTTCTTTTTTAAAAACATACCAAGACGGTGTGTGTTTGTGTGGTTTTTTTTTTTTTTTTTTTGCCTAGTCATAGCAGCACGTTTCCTGCTGCAGTTGCAGTGACGCTGTGGTTCCTCCTTTTGTGTGTGTTTGTTGTGTAAATACCCAGTGTTCTACCACACCTGAGAATCTCACCGTGGGGCTGAGAGGCACGTTGTGTGGCATGTTTTTAACAATTTAAAATTAGGAGCATTAATCCTTGGCCTTAATCCCAGTGTTGGTGTAATGAGAGCAGTTAAAGTTAATTTAATTTCCCTGGATATGTGTGATTATATGAGTATCTGTGTCTGTTTTAAGGTACTGCAACACAGCGTGTTCTCAGTGCAGAGAGTGGAACATTACTGGTATCTGGGTATGGTCTCTCTTTGTCTCTCTCTTCATTTCTCTGTCTATGTCTCTCTGCCCCTCTCTCTCTCTCTCTTGCTGTCTTTCTGAGGCTCTCGAAAATCACCCAACAATCTCACAGAGAAGCGGGTGAGCCCGGATGGAAGACGTGTACGGTATAAAATAAGGATGAAGGCAGAGAGAGAGAGAGCGAGGGAGAGAGAGAGGGAGAGAGAGAGGTATAGACAGAGAACAGGAGAGAGAGAGTGTGGATCTCTCTTTGTCTCCCTCTGTTTATTTCCTCAGTCCAACATGAGAGATGTGACAGGACTCAGTGTTGATGTGATTTTTCACCACCGTTAAAAAGGTGGGAGACTGAGTTCCTCACCCGTCTCTCCTGGTCCTCCCGCACGGATGTGCCAGCAGTGGCTGAGCCTCGGCGTGTGGGGGATGGGGGAGAGGGTGAGAGGGGGAGGGGAGAAAGCTGTGGCCTCCATTTTCTGTGACGAGAGAGAACCCGGCTCGTCTCTCACAGGAGTGGAATCTGACAGGCACTGACTCAGTGTTGTTTCCTTTTTGTCCAGCAGGTACCGCTGGCGGTGGGGGAGTTCTGTCAGGGCTTTTCTTTGCAGCTGGGTTTCTCTGGAATGTCTGACAAACCTTCTGTGGATCTATTTGTTTGCCTTCCTCTGTGTGTCATGATGGATCATAGCTTCTAGTCTGAGAAGGGCCTGTGGATCAGTGGATCACTTCTGTTACCCTCCACTCCTCGGGCTTCCTGGTAGTTGCAGCAGTTGCTCGTCATTATACCTTCTCTCTCTCTCTCTCTCTCTCTCTCTGTGTATGTGTGTGTGTTTTTTGTTGAGTGTGCTCTGAGCTTCTTCTTCTTCTTCTTCTTTTTGTTGGTTCTGTGTTCCTGTGTGACACACTGTGTCATTTCTTATTTTCACGTTGGCCTTGTTTGTTCACTCAGTCCGGAACAGGAAGGCCCTGGAGGGGACGGGTGGGTGTGTGTGTGTGTGTGTGTGTGTGTGAGACTGTTGAAAGGCTGAAACCAGATACTCCTGTGCCATGTTTGTAAAGAAACTGCTCAACACACACACGTGTGTGTGTGTGTGCGTGTGTGTCAGTGTTTAGAGCTGGTTCTCCCTGGATCTGAGCTGGGCTTCAGAAGTCCTCACCAAACTGGAAGAGGAAAGAGTTTTGTCGATGTGAGTTATGACGGATCTGCAAATGATTTGAATGGTTTCGACTGAGAGAAGGGGGGGAGGGGGGAGTGAAGGCCCGACCCGACCCGACTTCTATTTAACCCTTCACAGTCTTGGTCTTCGTCAAACCCCGGGTCCTTTAAACCTCCGTCAGGTTCACGTCTGCGCGGCATTCGATCATTTTTGGTGTGAAACCTTTACAGGGTAGAAGTTAAAGACATGAAGGGAAAGGAAAGGGGGAGGGGCTTATCCCACAAGTGTGGCTGACCTCTGTGTTGTAGTTTTTATACCCAGGGCCCTGGCCAGGACCAGAACTCCCTTCAGAACTATGACCTGGTCAAGTGTGTGACCTGTTGGGAGGGGGGTCTTCTTCTTCTTCTTCTTCTTCTTCTTCTGTCCTTCCTCTTCTTTTTCTTCTTCCTCTTCCTCTTCTTCTCCTTCTTCTTCTTCTTCTCATGAATCATCATCTTCAGAACAAGGCCGACACTTTCTGCCGCTCATTAGAGTCAGAACCTGCGTTGGTTTGAACGCTCCGTTCCAACACTGGAGAGGAGAAGGTTTCTAGAGACCGGGCAGAGCCGGGTCCACGTCTCACTGTTTGTAGCATAATGCTAACGAAGAGCTAATGTGACAGAAACTTGTTTTTCTTCCTCTCTAATCCGTCCATTTGACATGACTAGGCCAAGTGTGTTTTTTTTTTGTTTTTTTTTTCAAGCCTATTAGAAGGATCTCTTGCCTCTAGTCTCCAAGAATGGCTCCAACTCCCTTGGGCGTTCATCTCTGTAGTCACTGAAGGGACTGGAGGGACGGCAGGAACATATATGGTTAATCACCAGGAGACACCATCGCCAGGAAAAAAAAAAAACAAAAAAAAACAACAAACCATGAACCCGCCTGGCGTTCTCATTAATTAAGGCAAATCAAAAAGTGAGGAAGAGTTGACCTCAGATATTACAGTCAGAATCGCCGGTGCGTCAGTCGTCCCGCGTCGAACAAACGGCCCCGTGTGTTGGGAACCGCAGCCTGACTGAGAGCAGTGTTGCTATGGCGATGGTTACTAGCAGCTCTCTTGGAACGTAAAGAACATATTGAGACTTGTTAGTCGGCGGTAGTGGATGGTGAACGATGTGAACTTGGAGGCACACCTGCTGGAGATGTGTAGAAATCCAGGGCAAAACAGAAAGAGTGGAAAAACCCACAGGGTCCCAGTTGACGGTCCTACTGGGACCCGGGCGCTTGAGGTGGTGCTGCACTTGTTTACCCCCGTGTTGCTGTGGTCTCTGGTTTGTGAACACCACTCCTGACTTTGTGCTTGCCTCCCTTTGTGTTTCCGTGTGCCGTCGCTCGATGCTCTGCAGTCTGGCTGAGGAGGAGATTAAGACGGAGTCCGATGTGGTAGAGGGGATGGACGCGGCTCTGCGCTCCAAAGGTAAGTCTCCCAGGCCGTATTACCCCGGCGTGAAGGGTCAGCTGTCTGACACGACGCCATTTCAGAGAGTGTGGTGGTTATTTAGTGTCAGTCAGGAGCTGCTGCAGCACTCAGCTCTCAGACAACAGGGCTGAGGAACCAGAGCTGCTCAGACCTGGAGTCTGTTGGGTTTGGTGTCAGGTTTTATATTCTGTTAAAATACATGACTTTACTGTCCTCCTAATGCATGTGACACATGGTACAAAGACGTCAGTGTGGAGCGTCAGTCTCAGCTGTGAACAGCACGTCTACTTTCTCCTCTTCTAGTCGGACTAGCACCGGTGTGTACCACGAAATATATATACAAAAATACACGTTAGAAAGGATCCTGACCAGCGTTGACTGATTGTCAGTTCTTTGACTAAATTGTGACTTTGTCTTAAGTTCATTCAATAGGACTGTTTTAATTTTAGTTTAGCTTTAACGAGATATAAAAGCTAAAATAAAAAAATGTGTCAAAATGTTTTTATATCATGCGTTCTTTAATATCAGAAGTAAAATAGTTCCATATAATATTCCTGCCTCGTGCTGTTTATCCAACCACAGGACACACGTTCTCTATGATTGGATCTCCCGCCTTCTAGCCAACAAACAAAGCTCTGATTGGCTCCCGCCCTCGTTTGTTTCCTCCAGTTTTAAATGAGGAACTCGGCACTGATTGGACGTCGTCACTGACAGTTGTTTTTGTCTCATTTTCATTAGTTGACTGATGCATCAATGACTCGTCAAAAAAAAATCAAGGTTCAGTTTAGTTTTAATTTATGTTTTAGAAAAAAAGGCAAAATTATAAAGACAGGAAATCCAAACTTTTAGACTTTAGCAGCAAGAAAAATTTATTTTTTATTTTCAAATCCAAATTATAAATTCCAGTGAGGTGAAATGTTTTTATTGACTTTAGCAGCAAGAAAAATGTATTTTTTATTTTCAAATCCAAATTGTAAATTCCAGTGAGGTGAAATGTTTTTAGTCAATTTCATTTCATTTCTGTCTTTAAATCTAAGACACATTTATTCGTGTTGGTGATGCAGTTTTCTTTTTCTTCTCGTTCTTCCTGTCGTGTGACGATGCTGTTTTTGTTTGTCCTCCACCCAGTCCCTGATGCCCCAGGGTCAGCAGAACGACCGGTGGCTCCACAGAAAAGGAAGGTGTCGAGTCCCACCCACTCGTCCAATGGACACTCTCCCTCAGACACTTCTCCCAGCCCGCTGAAGAAGAAGAAGAAGCCCGGGGCGGTCAACAGCGGCAGCAAAGACCAGGTTAGAGCGCTCGTCACCATCTGCTGAGTTTTCTCAGGCTGTGGAGGTTTGGTGAGGCAGGCTGACTGGAGCTGGGGGGGGTTCAAAGACAAGTCATAATCTAAAACAGGTTTGGACTTGTTGGTGGGTCCAAACCGCGGCGACCGGGACTCGTTCCATTCGGTTTAAACACGGAATAAATCACACGACATTGATTATAAATGAGAACAGACGTTCACAAACTAATTTGTCTGGCGTAACCTCTTCTATATCACCCCCCCAAACACACACCGAATCTGGCGATACGATACGTATCACGATACAATATGCTGTGATACTACAGGGACAACTGTAAGGCAGCACTAACTGCCCTGCCACCTTGTGGCTGCCGGTTTGAAAGTGTTGATTTAACTGTGCGTTAGGTTAAAATAATCAAGTTAGGAAGATTTAATAGAGGCGTGTATTGGCAAGAATCTGGCGATACGATACCTATCACGATACGATAGGTGTATCGTGATAGGGATCTACATTTGGAATAACCAGAGAAAAAAGAAAAGAAAAAGAAAATGAACCAACACCAGGAATATTGGACTGGGAATTGGTGAGAAAAAAAAATCAATAACTGACGGAGTAGGAGATTGATACGAGAACAGGATATATCACCAACAGACAGGAACAGGTTTAAAGACGACTTACTCAGTACAGACATGCTCAGTACAGACATGCTCAGTACAGACATGCTCAGTACAGACATGCTCAGTACAGACATGCTCAGTACAGACATGCTCAGTACAGACATGCTCAGTACAGACATGCCCAGTACAGACATGCCCAGTACAGACATGCCCAGTACAGACATGCCCAGTACAGACATGCCCAGTACAGACATGCCCAGTACAGACATGCCCAGTACAGACATGCTCAGTACAGACTAGGACGTCAAAGACTAAGTGTCTTCAGTCAACAGCAGCTGTTGTTGTTGTTGTTGTTTACAGAAATGGTTTCCCCTCCGTAACTAATGAAACTAACTGGTTTCCCCTCCGTAACTAATGAAACTCATGTATTAGTTTATTGGCTAATTGAGTGGTGGCTCCTGTTGTTGATAATGGACTGTTTGCCGTGAGTCTCTGAGCTCTTTATTCTTGTGGTGAAATTTTTCCCACAGTTCTGCAGGAAAGGGTGACTGAGGAGGTGGGGGTTAATTTATAAATGTTAACACGGGGAGTGTCGTGTTCTGCCCTCGGAGACTTGTTTGTTCACAGATCCACAGTTTGTAGTTGTGCTGTGAACTGAGAGCAGGTGCAGCTGACAAATCATCTGCTAAAGTAGCAGCAACAGGCTGAGAGTCCAGCGTGGACGCCGTCCAACGTCTACAGAAAGAATTCATTCCCTTTAAACCGCAGTGTCAGGCCCTGTCCACCAGTCCGTCAGTTGGTTTTTGTACCATGTGGTGCCATGTTTGTTCAGGTTTATTGAATAAGTTGTTGAAACTTTGACTTTAATGTTCAGATTCAAACCACACGTTTTCTCACTGTTGCCCTCCAGTGTCAGAGGTCAGTTAATTCACTCTGGTGGTTTTAGGGTCAGACTGTGTCATGTGATTGGACTCTGTATTATTGGCTGTTCCTACGTCAGCCATAGAGGAAGTGAAGGTGACGTGTCCTGAATACGACGGTGCTGGAACTGTTTCAGACCCAGTTGTGAGTTCTCTGGTGTTGATGCAGGAACTACTAACAGAAGTACCTGTAAAAACGCAGCACTACTGCAGTATTATGTTGATCTCGTTAAGTTCTGGGTTGTTGCTATCAACTGGTTAGCATCAGGCTAGCACCCAGCGTTCTGTTTGTAGAGTCAGTGCTCGCCAAAGCTAGGCTAAGCTAATCTTGTGAGATACATTTGTCACTCAGTAATATCTACATCACTTTGGTAAATATTTATGTTATTTAAATCTTATTGGTACATTTTAGAAACGTGTTTATCTTTACCCAGTGAACCAGTTTTCTTGTTTCCTTAAGGAATTCAAGAGTTGAAAAAAAAAAATAATTACAGAAAACCTCAACGTCTATCAAGCTGAGAAAACACTGCAGGATTTTTTTTTTTTGCCAGATTTTACCCACAATTCCCAGCTGGGAGGAAGTCTGCACCAGTGGGGACAGTCAGCAGGGCTAATTGGCACAAAAATGTGTTGGTGTGTGAGGGGAGTTGTTTTTACCCGTCGTGTTCAGGTAGTGTTTTTTAACCTGAAAATGTTGGCTGTGAAGGTGGTGTGGTGCGTCTGCAGCTTTTGTTTTGTTTTTTTTTTTTTAGCTGTTGTGCGTAGCGGTGTAACGATGCATCGTGAATCGGTTAGAAAACGATACAAATGTGTGACAGTTCGGTTCATCGGTTGATGTTAAAAATTAATCGTACATCAAAGAGTAGACTGCGTTATCTAAAAAAGTCACTGGTCATACCGTGACACTACACACTCCAGTACAGCAGGTGGCATCACGGATTATCGTATCGTCAGTTGAGTGTATCGTTACAGTTACAGTTACTAGTTTCGCGTCTACTTTTTTTTGTGTATCGTTACATCCCTAGTTTCGCGTCTACTTTTTTTGTCATAACTTTTATCTGAAATTATCATTTTGCCTTAAAGAAAAATACTGTTACATAATGTGATGATGTAATCAATTGGGTGGGCCGCAGTGGGAGGGGTTAGAGTGGGAGGGGGGTGGGCTGGGATTACACTGAATGTAATATCATGTATGTTGTTCTGTTGTTCTCCTGTAATTGCATTCTAGTGTTCCCATTGTTGCTTACCCTGCTCCCCTCCCCCCCTCCACCAACCTACTGCTGCCTTGTTTCTGTTGCACTGCACCTTTTTTTTGTGTTCCTGCCTTTTTTTTGAAACCTCCCCCCTGTTTCTCTTGCCTGCATTTCAGTCAGAGCTAAGACATGGTCCCTTTTACTATATGAAGCAGCCAGCACTCACCACAGACCCTGTTGATGTTGTACCGCAGGACGGCAGGAACGACTTCTACTGCTGGCTGTGCCACCGCGAGGGCCAGGTGCTCTGCTGTGAGCTCTGCCCCAGGGTGTACCACGCCAAGTGCCTCAAACTACCAGCCGAGCCCGAGGGCGACTGGTTCTGTCCAGAATGTGAGGTATCTCGCTAAAGACGTGAATGTGTGTGATTGTGGATCTAGCGGCACAATCTTTCCTAATCAGTCGATCAGGCGGATTATGTTTCCTCTAATCAAGAGTGAAGATTTTTTTTTTTTTTTTTGTGATACATCCTGTAATATATTTATAGTTAAGGATGTTGACATAACTCAATTAATCACGTTTGATTACGATTAATCGCGATTAATTGTGTAGTGATTATTGCGGTTAATCATGACTAATTAAACAAACTTGTCTGCACTGAGTTTTTTTTTTTTTTTAAATATTTGTTAACGCCACTAACACTTTCACCGCCTTTGCAGAAAATAACGGTCGCCGAATGCATTGAAACTCAAAGCAAAGCAATGACGATGCTGACGATAGATCAGCTGTCGTACCTGCTCAAGTATGCACTCCAGAAGATTAAACAACCGGGGGTAAGATCGACTCTGTGTCCGTGTCTGTCTGTCTGGTTTTTATTTATTTTATTTTTTTATCTTTATAGTTACATTTTTTTTTTTTATTTTATTTGGCACATCTGAACAGACTGAGCCTTTTCAGAAACCAGTGTCACTGGAACAGCATCCGGACTACGCTGAATACATCTTCCACCCCATGGACCTGTGTACTTTAGAAAAGGTTTGACTCTGAATCTGCCATGAATACAGAATCACACACATCTGCTGTGTTTTATTAAATATATAAAATATTGTTGTTTTTTTTCTGTGTAGAATGTAAAAAAGAAAATGTACGGCTGCACAGAAGCCTTTCTCGCTGACATGAAGTGGATTTTACACAACTGTATCATCTACAACGGAGGTACGTGATTCTGATTATTATTATGAGGTTCAGCTTAATGATTTTAATTAGGGATGTGCGATGATATCGGGCCGACCAATATTATCGGCCCGATGTTAGCATAATTATGTAATTAAAAAAAATTTCTCCGATAATGAAAACCTGACGAAATGCCTGGGTTTCGCCAGATGATGTCGGCTCTAAAAATAATTTTTGGGGAAAAACGACTGTATATGAAATTGAAAGCCACTAGATGGCAGTCCTGCAGCTTATTTTATTCATCTGTTTTAACAGTTGTTTGCAGAACTCATACAGTGGTTTGTACAGATAAATAAATAAATAAATATTACCAAGCAAAAAACCTCTGTCCTCTAGGGGGGGTCATGGCAGAAAATAATTGAGAAACACTGCTTTAACCCACACCTTAGTGAGCAGGTGGCACTTCACTTTTAACACCACCAGGGAACCACTGCCCTGCTATGGCAGTATTGGTTGATATCGCAGTCGTAAATTACGTGTTTGAACAATATTAACATATCAGATATCGGCAAAAAGTTAATATCCCTAATTTTAATGATGAAATATTCAGCTCAAAGTCGACCTGTGTTGTTTTTTACAGGTAATCACAAGCTAACAGCAACTGCAAAAGTCATCGTCAAGATCTGTGAACATGAGGTAAATATAAATAAATATATATACGTTTATATTTACAGCCTTTTGTAAACGCCTCAAAACTCATTAAACGACTTGGTTCAAAATGCTGTTTCAGATGAACGAGATCGAGGTGTGTCCAGAGTGCTACCTGTCGTCATGCCAAAAAAGGGACAACTGGTTCTGTGAGCCCTGTGTACGTCCTCTCCACGACGGTTGTGTTGTGTTTCTAATACGACTGCGGACGTGAAACGTTTTCCTTCCTCCACAGAATCAACCTCACCCTCTGGTCTGGGCCAAACTAAAGGGATTTCCTTTCTGGCCTGCAAAAGCACTTCGGGAAAAGGACGGACAGGTAGACGCTCGGTTCTTTGGTCAACACGACAGGTGAGGTCGCCGTTCAACGGCTACGGAAAATTATGAATATATAAAGATGCACCAAAAATAATGGTCAAGTCATGATTGGCTTTTTTCCCTCGTCTTTGAGCAAGGCAGTGTCCGATCATGGCACTCGGTCTTAATCTGATGAGGGAAGAGAAATTCTAGCCATATTCATCCCAGTCGTCTCTGTTTGGTGAGGAACAGGCTGGTTCATGCTGTGGTTACAGGAGAACTTGTGTCCTAAATGTTAAAAAAATGTCTTTACACAACTGGATCCACTCCTGACCAATCAGACGCAGCTTTAAAATGACACATTTGTGTCCTGGAAAAGCCACGTCATTCATTGTTGACGTAGTTTTGTCTGTTTTGCAACAAAAAACCAAAATGTGTGTTGGCTTTTGATTTTCAATAAAACACAGACCGGCCTCTATATTCACTATTCAGATTCCGGGGTTCACGGATTCAGATGTGAATCTTCGTGTCTGCTCCTTGTACAGTACGTAGGTGAATGGGTTTGTCATGGTCACTGTCCACATACCACCTTCTGCTTGGCTTGGATACTTAGCAATACATCCACTAGGGGCAGTGCTGAGTTTGAAATTCCCAGACAATAATAAACATGTTGGCGATGGAGGAGGTGGTAATAATAAATAAACAGATCATGTTCCTGTCTAGAAAGAATCTAAACGCAGACAGAGGCCTGTGTGGAGCAGGGTTTTTCAGATTTACGCTCAGATTATTTACCAGTTTCTAGCTGGTTACTGTTGCCCTTGTTGACGTTTCTTCTTCGGCGTCTCACAGGGCATGGGTTCCCATCAACAACTGCTACCTCATGTCCAAGGAGATTCCCTTCTCCGTGAAGAAGACCAAAAGCATTTTCAACAGCGCCATGCAGGAGATGGAGGTCTACGTGGAAAACATTCGAAAGAAGTTCGGGGTCTTCAACTATGCACCCTTCCGCACGCCCTACACCCCCAACAACCAACTGCAGATGCTGCTGGACCCCTCCAACCCCGGCGCCGGGACAGTGAAGACGGACAAACCCGATAAGCTGCGCTTAAACTTCGACATAACGGCGTCTCCTAAGATGGTCCTCAGCAAGAGTTCAACAACCAGCAGTATGAGTCGGAGGGTCTCCATGACGGATATGCCCCGGTCCCCGATGAGCACCAACTCCTCGGTCCACACGGGTTCTGATGGGGAGCAGGATATGGAAAAGCCCGGAAGGAACGCCGCCTTTCACTACAGCACTGGAGAGGAGTCGATGGACTGTTCTGGTAAATCAGTCACAGAGGTTCTGTGGTCACTGTTCTGGTTCTGTTCACTAGGCTAATGCAGCGTCACTGAAGTGTTTTTACAGTATTTTAATTAAGAAAAAAAACAAACCATGGTTTGTGTCCTCTTCTTTCTCGTGTTCTTAGCGTCTCCTGTCTCTGGAAAGTCGGCGCCAGCAGCCAGTGTTACAGGAAGCCCAAAGCCCCTAAACTCTGGACTGGTACCCAAGCAGGAGAGGACCTCAGGCACGGGCGGCATCCTCAACCTCAACTTAGGTCAGTGTAGGTTACAGAAATATATTTTATATATATATATGTATATACCAGGGGTCCCAACCCGCGGTTCCCGGACCGGTCTGTGGGTCATTTGGTACCAGTCTTTTTCATTTACTTTCTTCATTTAAAGATAATGTTTTCGGACTCCGATACAAACAGGATTAAGTCTAAAATATGTTTCAATTTTAAAACTTCACCGAGCCTTAACCATGTCAACATCCTGGGGCTTCATAAATATATAAACAGGATGGAGTAGAGTCGGAATGATCGTCATTGATCGCTTGGAATTTTCTTAACCGGCTTTTCCAGGACAGCCCGCTGTTCCGTCCAGGTTTTTATAGATCTGTGGTTGCCTCGTTAGTAGGAGCCGCGACCAGAGAGAGAGAGTGAGAGATAGAGAGAGATTGATACAATAAAGAACAATATACTCTGTACCAGGGGTCACCACCAGGGAGCCCTCATGGACTATCAAAGGTTCCTGTGAAGTATAAACTGGTCGACAAGAGGGTGGAAGAAACTGTGATGAAACTGCGTTTCTGTTCTTTTTTTGATTCGATTCACTTGATGATGATGATGATGATGATGATGATGATGATGATGATGTTCAGGTGGAAACAGTGTCCATTGTGTCTCCCATTGTCACTGCATAATTCACAGTGTGTGAATATAAAAAGCTCGGCGCGCCCTGTACTGAAGTGTCTCCATTTCTGTCACGTCTGTTTCAGATCGAGTGAAGGCTGAAATGGATCTGAAGGAACTCAGTGAAACGGTGCAGCAGCAACAACATCAGCAGCAACAGGGGGCGTCGATGACCCTCCCCACCACCAAGAGACACATGAGGAGCCTGGACAAAACCATTGAGAGCTGCAAGGCTCAGCTGGGTGAATGTTTATCACCTTCTCTGATGATGATGAATATTTACAGTGTCCAAACGTCCAACCTTCTAAAATAATGTCACGTCCACACAGGCATCGTTAAGTAGAGAAGAGTCCAAACGTCCAACCTTCTGAAATAATGTCACGTCCACACAGGCATCGACGAGATCTCTGAAGACGTTTACAAAGGCGTGGATCACAGCGACTCCGACGACTCGGACAAGTCCGACTCCAGCGACAGCGAGTACCTGAGTGACGAGGAACACAAGCCAAAGAGCTCCGCCCAGGACGAGAAGGAGAAAGTCGAGAAAAAGAAACCCAAACCAAGTACGGACAGAGAGAACAAGGAGGCGGCCACGGGTGGGGGGGACACGCCCAGTCTGGAACCTCTGCTTAAAGAGAAACCGGGGAGCAACGGCACGGACCGAGACGTCCAGGACCGACCCAGGACGCCACAGGCCCAAACTCAAACGGACAAACCCAAAGGCCCAGAGGAGAGCAGAGCCGCCGCCTCTGCCTCCGCCTCCGCCGGCACCTCCGCCACCGAGCAGGACTCTGACTCAGAGAGAGAGCTGGTCATCGACCTGGGTGACGATCACGCCGGTCGGGACTCCAAGAGGTCCAGGAAGGAGCCGGGGGCGTCTGCTGCGAAACATCTCAAAGAGACCAATGTCGTCAAGGTAGAAGGTGAGACGTTGGACAAAACAACAAACATCTTTGTCTCACAGGGACAAAACAGTATATATTTATATTTATATATTTATATATATGTATATAAAGCAAAGCTTCAGTTAAAATTTAGCTGAAAGACGATCGCTTTAAGTGCAGAGAAGTATATTTTAAATATTAAAAATAAATAAAACCAATTTTATCAAAGATATATTCCATTTCACTAAAATCTAAAAGGTAAAAATCAGTTTCTAAAAACGCAGTAAATGTCTTGGATTTTATTTCAAATTTTATAAATCAATTCCATATTAAATAATCTCGCAGGAAGATTCTGGTTCTTCGAGCCATATGTTTGACACCGTGGAAGATTAAATTATTTACACTTTGAATAAAGTCTAAATATATTTTTTTAATTATTTCTTTACTTCCCAAAACAAATATTATTGTATGATTAAATTTTTTTTTCTTAATTACAAAACAACCAACAAATGAACAACATTTTCATGAATGAATACATTTTCATTTAGAACAACATTGTTTCTCTGTGAAGCAGGTAAACTGCCGTCCTCGGCTGCTGCCGCAGCAGTGACGTCACGTGACGCCTCCTCTGGACAGAAAGAGTCATCACAACACGCCAGCTCCACTGCCCACGGCCTGGGCTCCGCCGCAGCTTCTGCCGCGCCCGGCGCCACCACCACCACCGCCGCCGCCAACAGCGTTCCCTCTCCAGCCTCCACCTCGGTGACGGCAGCCTCGCCGGTACCTGGCGTGGTGAAGAAACAGCGCCCTCTACTGCCCAAAGAGACCACGCAGGCCGTTCAGCGAGCGGTCGTTTGGAATCCCAGCAAGTTTCCGTCCTCCTCTCAGAAATGGCAAATAGAGAAGGTGCAGCGGCAGCAGCAGCAGCCGGGGGAGCAGCCGGCGGTGCAGTCGCAGAGCCAGGGTCCGGGGCCGGGGCAGGGGCAGACGCGAAGTCCGCAGCAGCTGCACTCGCAGCAGCAGAACTCCTCCAGCACCCGCTACCAGACGAGACAGTCGGTCAAAGGTACGACCAGAGCCACGGTCGGATGTTTTCACAGAGAAGTGAATCTCACGATTCGATATCGATTCTCGAGGTCACAATTCACTTCAATATTGATCTAAATCAGGGATGGGCAAACTAAGGCCCGGGGGCCAGGTGCGGCCCATTCAGCTTTTTAATCTGGCCCGCCAAACTTCCAAATTATATAATTCATACGGGTAAAAAAGTTTGCCCACGCCTGAGCTAAAAGCTTCAATAGCATCAGTATCAAGTAGAAATAGGCAAATAAGCAGGAAGCTTCTGTAGATGGCCCTCTTCGACAGCAGGGGGCACTGTTCTCCACTGAACTTATAACTTATCAATATTTTTACCTGACCCTGGTTTTCTGATTGTCGGTTCTTGATCCAAGTGTTTCCTTTCATTAAACTTCAAACCATTTAGGGCAACAGAAAGACCCTCCTCAGAATGCGTCCTCGTCCTCGGCCCAGGTCACGTCTGGAAGCTCCTCCTCCTTCCTGTCCGGAGACGTTCAGATCCCGACAGTCTCCGCCGATGTGGCCGCAGACATCGCTAAATACACAAACAAAGTAGGTTGGGAGGACTCAACGATGTGGGGATGAAAATAAAAAATGTGTCTCAAGTTGATGACACGCTAACGATGACATCATCACATCTGACCCGGCAGATCATGGACACCATAAAAGGGACAATGACTGAAATCTACAACGATCTTTCCAAGAGCACATCGGGGAACACCATAGCAGAGGTAACGGCAGGACTGAGCTCCTTGTGTAACACAGCGCCTCCTGTGGTGAAGTGGGTTTTTGACCAGACTTTTGATTCTGTTCCAGATACGAAGGTTAAGGATAGAGATCGAAAAGCTGCAGTGGCTGCACCAACAGGAGCTGTCGGAGATGAAGCACAATCTGGGTGAGCCTTAACTGTACCGTACTGTACTGTACTGTACTGTACTATACTGTACTGTACTGTACTATACTGTACTGTACTGCAATATCTTGTCTTTTAATCATCTGGTTTATGAATGGATTCATTCAGAACTTACAGTATTTTTTAAAGGAAAAGTATGCAGAATTTTTACAGTTTACAAACATAACAATTCAGCTGTCTTGTCACGTTGCATTAGTTGTTGTTACTGTGAATTTGATCCTAAAACTCCATCTAAAAACATTTTCTTCTGAGACAGTAGAGATGCAGTACTGATGGTACAGCTGCTCAGGGTGCTGCGGTTCAAATCCCTGTTTTTACATACATAATTCCTGTGTTTACTGAAGACGATGAAAAATACGCTTTGGCATCACTGACTGTGTCCTCACCCAAAATGAAGCCAACTTCATCTAGACATGTCCACCGAGTTTATCACCAGGACCGTAAAAAACCTCAGACGTTGATGAATAAAGACACTTGATGTTGTGGATGTTGCAGTTACAGAAACAGGTGGACGTTAATGTGGGTCGACCCGAATTCTGGAGTGTCAATAATAAAACAGCGGCTTAAAAAGCTGCTGATGTTTGATGTCCACAGAGGAAACACTGAGATTGTTTGTCTGGAATCTGATCTTTATTTCTGTAAAGTTGTCAGTGACAAGAAAGTTTTAAAATGTTTAAAAATCACACACTGAGAGTTGTTTGTCTGGAATCTCATCTTTATTTCTGTAAAGTTGTCTGTGAAGAGAGTGTTTTAAAATGTTTAAAAAATGTCTAATTAAAACTGAAACTTTTTCTCATGATTTTCGCGCTGCAGAGCTGACGATGGCTGAGATGAGGCAGAGTCTGGAGCAGGAGCGGGAACGGCTGGTGGCCGAGGTGAAGAAACAGACGGAGGTGGAGAAGCAGCAGGCGGTGGACGAGACCAAGAAGAAACAGTGGTGCGCCAACTGCAGGAAGGAGGCCATCTTCTACTGCTGCTGGAACACCAGTTACTGTGACTACCCCTGTCAGCAGGCCCACTGGCCGGAGCACATGAAGTCCTGCACACAGTCAGGTAACAGTAAGAGTACAGCGGTACTTCCTGTACACGCTGTAAACAAAGACAGTGTTGTCACTTCATAGTGGAGGCCTCAGGGTACTGCAGCTGTGTTGAACACGGAGTTGGTTTTGGAATTTGTTTCTAATTTTCAGACAAAGACACGAATGAAAAGTGACTCAGTCTGATGACAAAAAAATCTTCAGCAGTGTTTTTATTTTTTTTATGTTTTCATTTTTAAGATGACGAGGCTGAAATGACTGAATGTAATTGCCACAAATTACAATTATTCTGTTAGAATCCAAGGTCAATATCTCACACGCCCCCTGGTGGTGACCTTATTATTAGGCTCAACACATTCATTGATGTGAAACGCACTTGTTTTAAAATAAACTAAACGTAGAGAAGGTAAAGTTTAATACTGATTATTTTCAACAACATCTTCAGACTCTTTGGATCTTTTAAAGATAATAATTATATTTTTTCAGCAAGTGATAATAATCTCTGCTGCTGTCTGGGTGTGAGACTAGTTTTCATATTTCCATTTCCTTGCAGCCACCGCTTCCCAACAAGAGTCGGAGCCCGAGCCGAACTCCGACCCGTACACCAAACCGGCGGGTCACTCTCCCGCCGCACAGTCGCTGCCCTCCGCAGCGGGGTCCATATCAGACAAAAGCAACTCTCCCACATACATGGACAAGAGTAAGGACAGTGTGGCGCTGACTGTCACCTAACCGCTACACTACTCCAACGAGCAGACTTTCGCTAACGCCTCCGTCTGGCTCCTGGATCAAACAGTCAGCATTAACATTGGTGCTTGGAGGCAACATAGACAAAAAAAATCTTCCCCCCCATTCCTTGACTGTACGTACATCAGTGTGACTGCAGTGGTTGGTCTCCATCAGCCCGTGTCCAGATGGATTCACCGTGTGAACTGTGTCTGTTGTGAGAGGTCAACGTGAGTCCGTGTGTTTTCTTACTGTGTTTCCGTGGTGCAGCCCTGTTACCACGTCATCGTTTCTCCATCATCACTTCTTAATGCTGCTTTCCAAACACTTCACGGTGGTTTCGTTTAACAAAAAAAAAAAAGAGAAAAGAATTCATGTTCTATTACGTACATTTGTAAAATACATAAACAGATCATAACCGTTCAGCTGCGTCACCACTGTGGGTTTTTTTTTTTCAGTAACGTGCGTTTCTTTACTTTTTAATACCCAACATTTTTTTAAAATCAGTGGTAACTCTTTTGACCCATAACCATTTTGTATTGTTGCTCCTCATTGTATAGACATCCAGAAAATGTGTGATTTATAAAAAAAAATTTGAAAAGAAAAGAAAAAGAAAACTGAAAAATGTAAGCTGTACAAAGATTTTGTAAGAAGATACCGGAACAATATTTATAGTGTAATATGTTTTATAGTACGTTTAACAAAGTCACATTTCTATGTGTCTAAAGTTATTTGAAAAAAAAAGAAAAGAAATTACTTCATATGAATGTCAGCACTGAGTCTGTTAAACCATTTTTTCCAAAGTTGATGTAAACTTCTGGTTAGACCGTGTCTACACATGGAGTAGATATGAATAGAAAGTGCATTTTGGCTGGACATCATTTTCTGTGAGCATGTTTGTTTTGAGCCTGTGTCTCGTTCTTGTTTACATATTGTACATACAATATATGGACTTGTGAAGCTAAAATAAAAATGCTCTAAAACAATTGCATTTGGACTGATTCAAGTTTTATTTCAGTTAAATCAGGGGTCCTGAGCTGAGGGTAATAAATAATGACTAAGGTACGTAAATATTTGGGGGGGGGGATTGGAAAATAATGTCAATATAGATAATTACTGACAAGTATGTAATGACACAGACATTCATTGATTAAATAAAATATTTAAAATTCACTCAGTGGAGTTGCTTTGTTATTTTGTTGTCAACCATTAAAATATATGGACAGGTAAAGGTCGAAAAAGTATGACTTAGTATGATTTAGTTTGCTGTTTTTACCCTTTTTTTCCCAAACATTAATCTTGTGGATCGTCATTGTGTTCTTTTAGAAATGACAGTAATACGAAAAAGATGCTAACAGGCATGAAAACCTCAAAGTAGGTCAAGATGCAGACAGAAAATCCCAGGACCCAGCGCTGACTTCTTCCTGTTACAACATCTCGCGAGACCAGCCTTTTGTCACGGCTGAGAAAATGGCAGGGAGTGCGTTGCTAGCTACAAAAGCAGAGAGAGCTCAGCCATAACTGAATGTAATTTGTTAATACTTCAAAGGTACTGTTGGCGTTTTTCTTCACATTGTCTGTAGACATGTTTTTAACAAATAAGGACGGTTCTATATTCTCAGGTATCATTATTTCCTCAGCGTACTGCGTTTGTTCCTGGCTAATGTAGCGGCTAAAGTGTTAGCAGGAATCAATGTCGACTGCGCTCACCAAACAAACAAACACTCGTCTTCCCCTGCTACAGAATAACTCATGCGTGTCCAACAGGGTGTGCTAGTCGGTTTCAGTCGGTTGACATGTGATACCAAAACCAGTAAAGTCTCTTGTCTGTGACGCTGTTGAGTTATGGTGCGTCGTTAATCCTTCGTTCCAGGTGTTACATGGTCAACATGTAATCTGGACCACAGGGTTAGCGGTGGTAGCGTTGCGCATAATAGACGTGAATACTGCGATGATAACATTTAATAAAGAACTATGACATAACATTTCACATATATATACAATTATTGTGTAAAACTTTAAAAAATTTTGCTCGACATTGAGTGTGGAGGTCAATTTTTAGTTACCATCGCTCATTTGTTGTCTCAAACTTTTTATCCAAGGAACGAATGAAGCCCAATAAATGTAAATAGTGACTTGTGAAAATCCAATTCTTTAACTTTTTTCATATCAGTCATGGTTATTTTTTATTTAATTTTTTGAAGCCTAAAAACAAAATGCACTTTAGGTTAAAGAGGTTCCTGGCAGCTTGGTGTGGTATTTAAATGACCGACCAGCTGAAGTTTTTCTATGGTGCTGTACACAACAGTAGTGTCACAACAGTCATTTTGTAAAACATCCACCACCCATGTCAAAATTATACACCTACATCCTTAAATAATTATTTGTACCACAAGAAATATTTTAGTTTTATCACTATAATAGCCATTTTGAGTGACTGGGCTAACTAAGCTAATTTTGCGTTTTAAAATAGTTTGACTTCTGATGAGTAGAAATGGGAAAACTTACAAATTTTGAGTACACACTAACAAACTGGTGTCAGTAGAGTTTTGAGTGACGACTGAAAGTCTTAATGATTGTGTCTGATGAGGGATCAGAGATGTCATTTATTAGCAAAGACAACTGAACACTAACTATTTAAAGGGGGATAATCAGCTCAAACTACACAATGAATTCGTGGTCAGATAAACTGCAGTTACATGTTTTTTTCCACACAGTTCAAGATTTGTGTATCTAAACCAAACACAATAATAAATGAATAGATTATCATGGCGACTAGTTGTGCCACATCAGTTCCAAACTGTCAAAGATCTCGGCTTTGAAGTCCTTACACTTGCTTTTACAAAATAAAATAAAAGTGGATTCAGCTTCAGTGAAACTAAGGCGGTCTACTACCTACCGGCTTACTACCTACCTTTGATTCCTTTTAATTCCTAAAAGACACGATAGACACTGAAGGGTTAGGCCAAGAGAAAAATAAGATTGGAATTAAAAACAGAAAGCGATTGGAGGTTAGAGAAGAGAAAAACTCAAGAAGAGGCAATAATGTAACAAGATGGCTGCCAACTGCCATTACACCCACCAGAAGAACGGCCTCATTCTCCACTGTGCTTGTCTGCACTATTAATGCTGTGTGTTGTCCAACATCTCTACTAATGCTTAGTGTTGGTTGATTACTTTAACACATTAACACACTGCTCAATTAATAATATTTTGAATTAAAAAAAAAATACCACAGGTAGATTTTCAAATGTTTTAAACTGACTGACTGACCTCATAGAATTGAAGTAAAATTGTTATACACTTTAATACTACGTGCCTGTGTATCAACAGTTAGTGTTTGTCATTAAGGCCTTTTGTTTTTATAGTCTCTCTGTCTATTGATTTCAGCATGGACCCAATGGAAAACATTGAGACAGATGAAGATAATTCAGGTAACTGGATGAATTCCTACACCATTCTAATAGACGTTTGATTATTTGGAACCATCAGTGGAACGTGTTCCTGTGGTTTTTCTTCTTTAGAGGGACAGCAGAGCCAGACGGAGGGGGCTGAGTTGAACCTGAGGCCTACCCTGTCGCAGGTCAAAAAGTCCTGGGGCTTCAGACGGACGACAATAGCCAGGAGACAGTTCAGGGAAGAAGTAGGAAACCTACAACACACCACTCCTCGAAGAGGGAGAAGTCAGCGAACTACGGAGGCAAAGCAGTCCACCCCAGAGATGCAAGATGCTCTGTCAGAGACAGGCACGTCCAAAAGTTATCTAGGTGACCTTGAGTGGTCCGCACCCTCCTCCCCTGCTTCAGAGGAGAGCAAAGAAGCTTCAGAAGCTTCTGGAAGCGGCCTGGACCCCAGCCTGTGGCAGGATTATGGGTCCGCTTTCCACACAGCCTTCTCGCTGCTCTGCGGGAACGAGTCCGTCAACACGTCAGACGTGCCAACGCCGCCTGACCTTTTAGCTGCTCCTGATCTCGCTGACCTTCCACCTGCACAGACTGCTGATGAAACTGAGGAGCCTGATGCCGTCGAAGCTGTGGACGATGTGAAACATGTGCCACCGCTGTCTTCAGGCAACGTTGCGGGAGAAGTTAATGATGTGGTTTTGATCTCTAGTCAAGACGACGACAGCGATGACATGACTCTGATCCAACTGAAGGAGAAGATTGCATCAGAAAGCCTTCAAGAAAATCTGTCAAAAGACCAGGGCGGGAAAGGTGTAAGAGGACGACCCAAAGGACGGGGCAGAGGTAGAGGACGGGGTAGGGCGAAAGGGAGGGGCAGAGGCAGAGGACGGGGCAGGCCGCCAAAGTTCCAGACTAGCATCGCAGACGAGGTGGACGGCGATGACGAGGTGATGTTTGTTAATTCATCTCAGGGATCAGAAGTGATGTCAGAGAAGGAGGGTCATCAACAGGACCTCACTGAGGTAGAGGTCTCTTCTGCCCACTCAGATACCACTCTGAGTCCTGCAGAGGACTCCAACACAGACTGCATCATCATAGACACTGGTTCAGACCCGCTCACTGACGACGGGTCTGGTCAGTTTGATGATGCTGTCCAGAAGGATGAAGATGTTGTGAACGTAGGAACACGTGTAGACACGGTGAACACTGAGGGTTACGACGCCACCACTTTGTGCTGCGTCTGCCGACAAAACCACTCTTACGGGTACGTCCCAGCTGCTGCGAACAGAAGTGCCTGTTGAGTCGTTTGCATACCTGCAGCAGCTGTTACTTTCGCTTCATCATTTCTGTTTGTTCGCCACCTTTTTTTTATAGGTTCCTTTTATGCTGTGACACTTGCCAGAAGTGGTCTCATGGCAGCTGTGTGGCAGTCAGTGAGACTCAGAGACGGGAAATGAAGGAGAGAGGGCGCAAGTACACCCGC